AAAAAAATTAAACAAAACAAAACCTTATCAACGGATGGGTAAAATATGAAACAGTAGCTGTGAAAGTAGAAGTGATTAATAGAAAGGGCAGCATTTTATACGTTGTTAAATTGATTACATGATCCAGTTGCATCACTGATAGCAAAACCCAAAGGCACGTCTGCATAAAGGATGCAGGTAATTGCAGTCAGCCTGTTCAATCGGTTTGTTTTGCAGGCTGCAGACAGTCTGACTGTGAAATATATCCTAATGGATCCCCACAATGCCATCATACATGAAGAGTTATCCATTGTGGATGATTAAAAATAAGCTCCATAACCCATTTATTAGACAGCAGTATAATGAGGTTATTTCAGCACTGAGACAGTCACACATTGCAGGATACATAAAAGGTACAATCAAGCAAGCAGTGACCTGGAAAAATACACATTGTTCAATACCACTGTATCCATACACAAAAATATTTGTATTGCACACAAAAGGTGAACGGTTGTTAAAAGCCTACTTCCTTCTTCATGCACCAAAACTAGGTTTTTGTATAGAGAATTATAACTTTATTTGAAGTTATGCATTTAAATAATTGTTCTATAAAGACAATGTATGTATTATATTAAGCTTACATTACACCAGCAGACAATGTTTTAATATTTAAGCCAATTATTTGCTTTCGATCTTGGTAGTGGATATTAGGTTTAGTTTGCATTTAACGCCTATATTTAAACATTTGCAGCTTAACAATTTAAAATTTGTTGAAATGGTACATAGGATAAGACATCACCATCATTTCAGGGAAAACAGTTTGATTTATGGGACAATCTGTCCTATTTTATTTTCCATGAGTCCATGTGTCATCTAGAGAGGTCAAAAGATCTCCATTAAACAACCCATTACGGTGATCTGTACAAGAGCAAGTAAATGGTGTCTCTGCTAATACAAAACTAAAAATAATTTTTGATCTCATACCACAGTGCCATGCCAGGTACGGCATTAAATATAAGTCAGTGGTTAATGTTGAGCGCATTTGCAAAAACTACAAACATGTATTTGCCCTGTGCTAAACTGCACCTCTTTTTCATACACCATTTTTTTGATACCCTGGTTCATACATTATAACCAAAATAAGAAGTAATCAACTGTTTTTATTTTTTTATTGGAGGTTTTCTGTATACTTGTATTGCCCTCTCATATTGCAATTGATAGGTTTATAAAACTAATAAACTCACCTTTATTCCAGCCCCGTAAGAGTCTCCCCACTGCAGACTGTTATTCATCTTGTGAAGTCGTCATGATTACTAATGCTTCTCATAACAAAGCACTGGGGCACCTGGCGAGTTAGACACATTCTTCCACTTTGAACTACAGTTCAAAGAGAGTGTAACAAGAAACCCTCACAGCTGTCAAGTATTACTAAGATGTTTTTTAAAAAGTGCTGATTTCTCTTGAAATCTTCACTTTTATAAAATAATCCAGAGGGGCCATGTAGTATACTCCAAAAGCATTTCAGCAAACCGCAAAAAAGAGCTTCAGTGAACTGGACTATCCCTTTAAATAATATGTACGACAATTAGTTTCCTTATTATTACAACCATATATATTCTGCCTGTCACTAATAGGGTGGTTAATCCAGTTTTGGTAGCAAACAGCATATTGAGGAATACATTAATAATGGTGACAAAAGTAATCGTATGATTCTTCTACGTCCCCTGCAGGAGGTGCAAGATTAGTTTTTGTTTTTATAGAAAGTAGACTCAGTCCATCGATTATATGGGTTTGAACTAGATATTACATTGGTATTGTTTAAAGGTTCACAACACTCTCATGGGTGCTTACAATATAATACATATAATTTAAGTGTATGTATTTAACATTTCCTTTACTATCGGATAATACTGGCAGCTTAAGTAATATAGTCTTATTTGGTTTTGCTATTTAGGTCACTGTCTCAAACAGCTCTCTCATTACCATATCATTACGTTGCACTCGTTGAGGTTCATGCTTCCCATATTATTATACAGACTAGTATGCATAACAGCAACCCACCCCCTACACCAATGGATTTAATCCAGAAATTAGCATGTATACAAAAGGAAAGGTAGAACTGTATAGCCATTTTAAGTAAACATATTTATGATTATAAAATTATCCTATTTCTTCTAATTTATTCTAAACGTGATTCCCCATAGAAAAGAAGATGCAGTCATGGGTTGAATTTTATTCATGTGATAATTGAACAGTGACGATATCACAATTTTTCATATTTTAGATGTGTATTTTCATATTATAGGTGTTAGGTTTTTGAGCAGTTTTAGTTTTGCAGCTTGCATAATACTCAATAGTTCTGCATTGATTTTCCTTTTTATGGATAGATCATTCAGTCACTGATTTAAAAGGTACTCTCAATCCTTGGTGGGGATTCAGTGACCAAAGCTCTTTTAGATTCAGTGAGTTCGTGGTCAAGGTGTTTTGAGTACTTTTGTTATGTGTTTTCTCACTGTAATTTAATACTTTCTTTTTAAGTGGGCCCATGCATATTATATATTATTTTTAAAGAACAGCTAGGGATTTCTTCTGATAACCTATAAGTGTACATAGTACAACATTATATATCAGTAATGTGTTAAAGAATTAGGAAAAAAGTAAAACAAAAACAGATTGTTAATTGTTTTGCTTATAATATCTTTATAAAAACTAATGTAACAAAATACAAATAACTCAAAATCAATTCACTTATTATTCCTGATTGTTAAATGTATATCTCAGTTTCCAATTCATTTTTGGAAGTTATAGGCAGAGACCTACCTAGGTTACATGACAGTTGGGGTAGAAATGAATATTGGTACCCTCCCCTCTCAGTGACAGATACACACACTGACAGACACAATCACTGACAAACACATATACACTTAATGACAAAAACACACACACTCACTGACAAAAACATATAAACCCTCAGTGACAGACACACACACTCTCTGACAGGCACATACATACACTAACACACAATAAAAAAAAAATAAAGTTCAATCCACCCAGCCTCCATACCTTTGGGAGTGCTGAAGTGGATTCTTCCCTGGAGTTTAGTGGGGCTGGCTGCAGCTCGGCAGGCACAGACGGGCAGAGTTTCCTTGTGTGCCTCTTAGTGATGCTGGGGCTGGAGTGACATCATGTCACGGCTCCAGCATCACTGCAAGGGAGCTGAGCAGGAAGAGCTCAGGGGAGAGCGCTCCTTCACCGGCCACCTCCATCATCAGCAGATCCCAGCATCGGGGGACCCAAGGTGGCCAGCCGGCCACTTCTTGGGGCTTCAGGACAAGAGGCCGTCAAGGCGTCTGCCAGGGCTTTTTGCCACCCCCTCGGAAAGTGCCATCCAAGGCAAATGCCTAGTCAGCCTTGCGTTAAATACAACACTGACTGTAGACAACAGCCTCATCTCATTTAAGTGGCTATAGAGTCCCCTGGCATATTCCTTCCCTTTAGCATTAAATCACCTTTAATGTTTTAATGCTAAAAAAGAGTTCCCAGCACCCTATTAGCTCTTTGCTGCTTGGGCTAGTAAAAAAAAACATTATCCTGAGCAACAATGGGTAACTGTAATTGGTGGGGGTGTCATCTGACCATTTTCAACCTATAACAGTTCCCAATGCCGGTTTGAATTAGTATGTCTAGAAGGAAGTGTGTAAACTCTGTCTTAACCACACCTACATTCGTGCCTATTTAGTGTTAAATTGCTTGTAATTTTGTTTTGTTTTTTTCATTGAGGTAAGGGACTGAGACAAAGGACTCTAGGTGCTGTAAACAATTTATGAAATAATTATACTGCCTAATGCTTCAGTGTCCTTTTACAGCAAGGGATTTCCCAGGTTTGCCTTTGTGCTGCTGATCATTGTCTCCCTGCCGACCACACAGTCTTTAACACTGGGAAGCAATCACAGCTCGACATTAATCACTGGGGTGCATGAAGGGAGACCCTGTAGGTTTCCCTGTCTCTCAGGGAATTCTAGTGTCAGTAATTTAAAGGGTTGTGTGCAGCGGTCACTCACCGGTACCAGCATGAGTCAAGCCAGCATGTCATGGCATTCTATTCGATCCTCAGGTGTAAAATCCATTAACCGTATGGCATTATGAAACACCATGTGGTGTCTAAGGGGTTAAATTCATAGGTCACACAATTCTGCCTATAAGGTAAGTTTTATTGATTCTGGGATGTTCTGCAATAGCTGGGGACCTGCCTTTTTTTTTTTTTTTGTCAACCCCTGATATACAGAAAACCTGAGAGACACTCAAACTGTACTTCAACATTATAAAACATTTTCACAATATGACATCCCATTATCACCGCAGACACACAGAGCTTACACATAATCCCCATGCCCGCACTTCTCTTCTTAGTAATGCACTGGCAGAACATATGCATGCGAATTACAAGGTGCTGCTGAGGAATTGGAGATTTAAAAATGTCTGGCAGGAAGCCAGCGTTTAATGGCAGTTTAAAAGCAATTTGACAAAATAGAATTAACATGCTAATTGACAATCTGTAGTTGGTGCTGGTGAATTCACCGAGCCTGATTATTTGCACTTTAATACTATAAAAATAAGACCAAAAAAAAAGCATTAACACATTTAGTATATTTAAGGACAGAAAAAAGATTTAATGGCTTTATGTTTATACCATGTTTGCAACCTGCACCTTCAAAATCAGTGATTAAACACACGTATTAAACACTGGAACGTGAAGGATCTTCACCCCTTAACGACCAAGGCTATTTCATGCCAACACCACACTCTGGTCTCTAAAGACTTCATGCCAGTATGGAATGTCATGCTTATTTAGCTTTTGCAGAACTGTACGATCATGTCACCGTTAAATGAGAGAGGTTCCTTTGTGATGTTTCTTTAAAGGATGTTTTATTATTACAGAATTATTCAGTCATTGGTCTTTAAAGGGTTATGAGATCACAGTGTCCTGAGGGATTCAGCACCAGGATAAGAATGCTCTCCTGCAACAGTTAATGACGCTCAGCTGGAGTTTAGCTGAAGGAATCAGTCACATGTTTTGTGTACAGTATCAGCCCAGCCCTGTGTGTCTCCAGCCTCTTTGCCTGGCTGCATTCTGGAGAATCGTACTGAGAGACGCTGGGATACAGTGAGCAGAGGAACTTTGCAGCGTGAAGAAAATCACCTGTTTGGTTAACAGCAAAAAAACAAAACACATGGATTTAAACAAACAATTTAACAGGCACTGCTACAAAACTGCCGTCAAATCAGACTGATGCTGAACATTATTCAAGAAAACTACATCATTTAAGGAGTTAATTTACATGGATCTATCTGGATATTGACACTCCTCGAATTATCTACAATTGAACCGAAAATACAGTGTGTTAAACACACAGTTCTTTAGTGTCACTTGCATGGTGCGTGACAGAATGTGGAATTACTCTTCATGGGGTTTTCCATTGTTTATCCTTTGATGAATAGATAGTTCTTTAATCTGTTCTATTCAACATTTGACAGAGATTTTCTGGAGATAAATCCTCCCCATCTGGAGCAGTGGAAGTGATACAGATATGATCTCGTTAAGTAAAGATGGTTGCGCCATTAGCAATACCAACGTGTTTTGGGAGTCCAACTAGTCCATACTCGGAGGGAAAATTCTACAAATAAATTCATCTGAAAGAATAAAAATAGGAAAACTCTTGTTTTTATCCTATTGCCATGATCTACTACTATATTTAAAACTAGGATGGGTTTTAATCCTGTTTTCCATAAGAGAATGTTCACTTTTTAAAAGAGAAGTGGATTTTGGGATACATGGTGAAGCAAAAAAACATGATAATGTATGGAGAATTGCTTTTAAACTCCAGCAATGCCACTGAAGCTCAAGTGATGATTCAGACTAACACTCATTACCTTAGCAGCACTCAAAGACCTGTGAGTGCCTCTGTACTCTATATGTCTACAGCAAAGGCGATGAAGGAAGGGGGCATGAATAAACCAGACCTACTGACTTATGTTGTTCTGTTTCTTCTTCTTTTTCTGACTGTGGCAATAATTGTACTTTTTATTAATTGTCAACTGAGAAATTCATTCTTTGCTGGTCTGCCTTATGACAGGTCAATAAGAGAAGCCAGAAGTCCATGGAAAACACAGTCAGTCTGACTTGTGATTCAAAAAATGTCATAAACAATTTATTATTCTATTTTATTATTATTATTTTGTAAACATAGCGTAAGAAATGTTAGTTCTTTATGATTTAACCTTTTGATTGCCAGTTTTTAATAACAACTTACATGACACCCCACTGTCAACTAAAAGCTTACTATCATATCAAACTCTAAATGTGATATTGTGGGTTTATTCTTAATATTGTCAATATGTTATTAAATATATATATTGAAATAAATAATATAGGTTTCATTTAAGATTGCTAGTCCCATTATGCCTTGACGAACGCAGATCATGTCTACATTTTAATGGGCAGCCCTGTCCTTGTATCCTTGTATCCTTGTATCATTCATTTATTGTATGGGGAAAAGCAATTAATCCAGATAGTTATCAGGGATCCCTCCTTGTGTGAGTAATGTATTCTACGACTTCCTGCGTTATATAAATTCTACATACTGCAGGGCAGCATTATTCTTGTTTTGCCCACCAATTGTTGGAGTTATGTGTGCCCAAGAAAATATGACAACAACATACAATGTAAACACACAATCACATACTCTATATTATTTGCAGCATGACTAGTATAAACTCATTTAGAGTTTTTATCTCCTCCACCCCCTCACTGGCACTCACAGTCAATAAAATACCATATCTTGCCATTCAGTGCCAAGGGAAACAGAATTGACATTTAAACTGTGTTCTCACTGAGAAGGAGAATGACATAGCTTTGATATAAGGATATAGCAAAGGATATAAGGATATAGCAAATTCAAAATTTTCTTTACATATAAATGTGAAGGCTGTTGCTTGCATAATTTGGAAGGGTAGCACTTCATTTAGAAGCTGCCAGCGCATCACTTTGATCAATTTAGTGAGGTTTATTTCCCAAGGTTTTCATTGCTGGCAAATTGATTCAGCTCAATGTTATTGCATTTTTAATATCATTACACCCATGTTTTGCAAATTAAAATGCAAAGAAATATCTAGAGGGAGGCCTGGTAGTTAAACTTAATTATTTAGCCAAATAAGTGTTCTCTTGGCTGCCTTGACTCACAAAGGCACAGCTTGCACTTTATTTTGACTTGCGCAGTGTAGGAATCACAGGAGTTTTTACTAACACATTAATTGTTTGCAATTTAAAGCAAATTTAACATTTAGGCCAAAATATATCAAAAGAAAACATTTTACTTTGAATTTACTTAGAATTCCTGATAACTCACACTGTATACACATTTGTTATGAGTTGATTAATAGGGAAAAGAGAGTGACAAAATGCAACTTCCAGTTTTAGGAATGAAAAGAAAATCATTTATTCACTACAAGGACAATAGTGAGAGGTCAATGTAATAGACAATCTTAAAAAACAATCTCTTTCAGATCTGCAGTAATTTCCTGTGTACAAATGACTGCATGATGTTGCTCAGTACATGAACAATGCTGCCTTGAATATGCAGAGTTCAATGCTGCCAACAACACATAAGATAATCATCGGGAAAAAAAAACTGTTTTGTTTAGCAAATTAATTTCCCACCTCTGTTCCACATAATACCAGGTAACACTTTTATATGCTGCCTGTTACCATGAAGATATAATTAGCTAACAACTGAAGTTTAGTGAATAACTCTGTATAAAACATAATGGAGCAGCATCCCTACTCCCATGTGTACTTCTCTCAAAGTAAAACCAATGGGGCTGATTTACTTATAATTGTATGTGCACAGGTGGGCAGGATCCGTTATTACATTTTAGAAACAGTATAGTCGCCAAAACAGCTTTAGCTTAATGAAGCAGTTTTGGTGTACAGATCATTCCCCTGCAGTCTTGCTGCTCAATTCTCTGCTATATAGGAGTTAAATCCCTTTATTTATGCAGCCCTAGACATACCTCCCTGCATGTGACTTGCACAGCCTCCTTAAACACTTCCTGTGAGGAGTCATCTAATGTTTACACTTCGTTTATTGGAAATTCTGTTTAATTTAGAATGTCTTATCTCTGTGGCTAGGGCTACATAAACAGAAACAAAAGTAATTTTACTTCTAAATGGCAAAGAATTGAGCAGTGAAACTTCAGAGGCTTGATCTATACACAAAAACGGCTTCATTAAGCTAAAGTTGTCTTGATGACTATAGTATCCCTTTAACTTTTTTATTTGCTCTATTACTTATTTCTCAATATTTAGCAATGCAAGTAATATTTGTGCAACGAGTTAAAGTCAATCCAACATTTACCAACAAACATATAAATATTTGTTATTCTAAGAAACCAGATAAATATGTTAGTTCAACATATACCTGGGTCTGTAAATAAAGAAACTGACAAGTTTTAATCCACAAAATCAGAATTGATTAATGAATAAACTACATGATATGTTGATCTGGTTACCTTAATCTAGGCCTACCGATTGTCCCGCTATTGAATGGACAGCCCCTATTAATGGTCCTGTTGCACTATCCTGATTTTGTTCCCTGGTGTCCTGCATCTGGAGACACCAGGGAAGTGTCTGCTAGGAACACAGAGCAAGTACATCATTAGGTCCTAGTGCAGTGGGCACTAAGACCATCCAGAAAGTGCTACAGCAGCGCTCTCTGCACTGTCCTGTATGTTGAGTGCTGACCAGGAGGCTGTATGGCATGTTTGATAGCAGGTTGGCATGCCCACTTTACACGCAGGTCTACCCATTATGGGTGTTATCCTTGAGGTATGTTGTGTGCTACTAGTGATGCCCTCCTGAGGGCTTATCCGCCTGTCCCGATTCCATACCTCCCAATGTTGCAGACTTCCCAAAAGATTTCTGCCAGACAGTACCGATTTTCAGATCCTAGTTGCCTGGTGTTCCAGCTTTTGGGGACTCAACAAGCATTGCTTGAGTGTATCGTTAGAACTAATGCAGTTTGTTTGCTAAACATTTTTTTTCAAAGAGTGAGTTATGCAACATTTGATGCATACATCCTATATATAAAATGGATCTGCAGATCTGCTGGATTTTGAGTTTTCTCCTTTACACAACTCCCATAATCATTTACAGGATTATTTACTAAACTCTGAACAGTCCGTAATTTGCAGGAAATGTAAAATGTAAAATTTTAGGCCAGTTCACATATTTTACCCAACATTTTCCAATTTGGTTATTACATTTTTGTATGTTGTACAAAACTATTTGTTAACTCACCAGAAATTTGTTCACTAAACAGTGAGCTGAAAACAAGCCTGACAATGTTAGACTAAAATAGATGGGAAGAAATGCAATGCTGCCAATTTGATTGTGTGCCTTACAGTTTGGCTGTTAACAGTCCATAACTCTTTACAAAATATAGATTAAGTAACATCACACACAGAAAAATACAGTTTTACATTTTACAATGCTACTTAAACTCTCCTATCTTAGCCATAGATATGGACATTCAGTTCCGCTATATGGCCATTTTGTCTAAAGCCCACCACTATGTCACAGTACCCCATGTATTTTGTATAACTTTCGTCTTCATGCCAGCACCACTGCTAAGAAATGCATGTTCCGAGTGTGCCCCCAATTGCCCCCTTTATTTTAGACCATAATTCATTGTCCAGATTATTTCCTCCCGTTTTTGCTCCTAAAGTTTAAAATAAATAATTTCTGCACTTTTTTAAATACGTATTTCTAATGGCAATAGCATTTTATGATTTGATTTGATTTATATAAAATATGTAGTAGGTTATGGTAGTAGAAATTGTAATGTACTCTCTAAACAGAGATTCGCAGTAAATTTGAAAACGAAATTGCAAAAGTTTCAGGCTAAAATAGATTTGTATAAAGCTGCATGTCCCCAACTTCAGTGTCCAGTCTAGGTGGGTAAAAGCAGAATGGCCAGTGACATCATCCGTGTCACTTGTAGTCCCCAAAAAGCTGACTGCAGTCAAACAGGCCTACCACATAGTGCAAGCTCCTCTAATAATGTGTTAACACTATGCTTTATGGAGACAGTTTTCTGGTGTCCGTAAAAGCGGGAACACAAGTCAGGACCCTAAAATAGGAACTGTCGCACCAAAATGGAGACAGTTGGGATGTTGGTGCCTGAGTTGGAGAATTTCCCTGTATCTGCTATTGCTGCATATATTTTGCAGCTTAATTCTCAACTCACTACAATTTGGTGTTTAGTGAATAAACCCCATAGTGTTTTTTTGTTGTTTTGTTTTTAATAACAATACTGCAAGTGCAAGTTATGGCTATTTAAACTAAACTAGGCTTGTTCTTAGATTGGCCATTATCTATTTCCAATACTTTGTTATATTATCTGAGTCCAACATGATAAATACAGAACAATTTCTACATTTGTAATAAAATTCAGGAAATTGACATATTTAATATAGCTGATAAAAATTTATTAAAAAAAGTTTTAAAAAAACTGTCACTTTATTAAACAACTTTACTAGAAAGGACTTGTAAGATACATCCTTTTTTCGCAGAAATGCTTACAAATCAATATAAAATGTTAATATATGTATATTGATTTAAAAAAAAAAAAAACAGTATAATGAATTTGCATATTCCTTCACTATTCTTCAAGGTCATTTTGGGCTCCCTGTTCTATAATTTAAATTATTGTGTTTTTGCAGCCTAAATAAGCATAATCAAGATAGACAGATATTTATTCTGAGCAATGTTTTTTCCTTCATGTTATTAAATGTGTATATAAATATATGTATTCCTCTGCACATTTGTAATAAAAAAAGTATGTGGTACTTAAGCCTCAAATGTATTTATAGGAATCTGGGGGTATTGTATAGAAAGTATATCCCTCTCCACCATAGAAAATAACCTAGCTGTAATGAATTCATATCAAGCTTGATCACACCCACTAACTGAATTGGGGGCAAGTCCTAATTTGTTTTCGGCTGATATTTTCATTATTATCTGCTAATTAACATGCCTAGATGACTTGAGAATTACAAGAGTTGTTGTTAAAAAACAAACATATATATAGAACAATAAGGATGTGGAATTATCTGCCTGAAAAGGTGGTTTTATCAGGTTCCATTCTGGGGTCAAGAAGGAATTTTTTTCCTAGCTTGTTGCAAAATTGGAAGTGCATCAAACTGGGGTTTTTTTTTGCCTTCTTTTGGATCAACAGCAAAACACAAATGTGAGGAAGGCTGAATTTGATGGATGCAAGTCTCTTTATCAGCTTTGTAATATAATAGCTTATTATTAAAAATAGCACCTAAAATGTTTAATGTAAAGACCTAGGACCAAGGATATTTTATGGTGTCACCTCAATCTGACCCCAAAAGACTCTATGCTAATATGGAATGTTAGCAGCTGTCTACAGAACTTGAGTTGCGTAACCCTTTCCTGACATTAGAAACATAGAATGTGATTGCAGAGACAGGTAAGAACCTGTAAGAATCTAGTCTGCACAATTTTCTAAATACTTTCATTAGTCCATGGCCTTATCGTATATCTAGGATAGCCTTATGCCTATCCCAGGCATGGTTAAACTCCTTCATTGTGTTAACTTCTGACACTTCAGCTGGAAGGCTATTCCATGCATCCACTACCCTCTCAGTAAAGTAATACTTCCTGATATTATTAACAGTCGTTAAGGACTGCGGCCATACCTAGTATGACCTCGGCAAATAGGAGCCCTGGACTTACCTGGACCGGTGATCCACAGCGATCACAGTCAGGGGGGACTGCCGGAGACCCCAGCAGTCCCCCTGCAGCAACTTGCCACAATAGGAGTCTAGTAGCTGCCAGCAGGGGGACTGTCTGAGCTATCAGAAAGACCCCCAGGCTCCTAAAAGTAAAAAAATAAAATTAATATATTATACATGCATATGTATAATATATTATAAAATAATTAAAGCATTTTATAATATATTATACATATATAATATGCATATATATGATTTCATTATAAGTGTACTTTGAGATATATACATATATATATCTCAAAATACAATTATAATGAAATCATATATTTGCATTATATATGTATAATATATTATAAAATGCTTTAATTATAATATATTATGCATATATAGGAAATAAAAGTGTGTGTATATATGTATATGTGTATATATGTGTGTGTGGGTGTATATATATATACACACACACATATTATATATATATATATATACATATATATATATATAATATATAAATTGGAAAAAATACATTTTTTATATATATATATATATATATATATATATATATATATATATATATAAAAAATGCTAACTTTGGCCAGCGTTTGTGACTAAGTGGCTACAAAAGACTGGAAATACCCCATTTGGAATACCCTGGGTTGTCTACATTTGAAAATGGTGGGGTTATTTCCCATTCCTGGGCTACTATATGGTCTCAAAAGGCAACACAGATCCAGCAAACCAATCTGGCAAACTGAATTGGGCAAGCCCTATATTGACCCTGTACCTTTTCAAAACACCATAAAACCTGTACATGGTATTTTTATACTCAGGATACTTAGTTGAACACAAATATGAGTGTTTAAAACATTAAAATTTATCACGACGATGAACTCACCAGTAAAAGTTCAGTTTTTGTGTAAAGAAAACGCAAAAAACAAATATGAACGCTAACTTTGGCAAGCGTTTGTGGCTAAGTGGCTACTACAAAAGACTGGACATACTCCATTTTGAATACCATGGGTTGTGTACTTTTACAAATGGTATGCACTGATGTGGTTAATTTTCATTCCTGGGCTGCTATACGGTCTCAAAGGCAACATAGGCCCAGCAAACCAATCTGGCAAATTTCGGTGTGCAAACATGGACAATGTGAGAGAAAAATAACACAAAAAAATGACTACCCAAAAGTTTGAAAAAGACTGGTAGAATTAGTGCATGGAAAGTGTTAAAATACCACCATTTGAAATACCCTATGGTATCTATTTTTCAAAAATATATGGTTTGATGGGGGTAAATTACATTGGCCAGCTTCAAAAATGTCCCAAATAGGACATAGGTGCATGATGACAGCTGTGAAAATTCCAAGTTGGAAAACTGGAATACGCACCCCCCAAATAAGGTCTTTTAGCCCCCAGAGAACCCGACACACCTATACATGGGTGGTATCAACTGTACTCAGGAGATGTTGCTGAATTATTTTTCATAGTATATTATATGATATGATGAAAATAATGGTATGTTTAGAAAGACTATTTAATGGCAAGAAGAACAGTACCTCCCTGGAAATATAAGGAAGGGAGTACATGACTGCTGGCAGGGATAAGGGGCTGGTTTATAAGGGGATACATTGTGGCACTTGGGGTACGTTAAGAGGGGGGAAAAGGGGAGGGTACTCACCAGTTCCTGGGCAGAGGTGTAGTGTTGCTAGCTTCCCCCAGGGACTGTAACAAAAGAGAAGCAATAATATTATATCCTGCAGAAAACTAGTTAAATTTGCTCAATTAGCTATTTCTCAATTTCCCATCTTCAAGGAATACTTAGCTGGTATCGGGAGAATGGCAACGGTGTCCAGAGAAGCTGTGGTACCTTGTTACAGGCGTACCTGGAGTCCCATGGTGCTGGATCCTTGGAGGAGGTTATCGCTGGTCTGGAGGCCCGGCCGGCATCGGCAATGAGGTCGGAGACGGCAGAGGATGTGCCCGAGGGTGGTAGGAGGGCCAGGCCTAGTACGCGTTTGTCCCCGAGTCCGGTGTCCATGCGGCATGACCGGCAGCGAGGAGAGCGGCTTGGCACTGCCAGAGCTGCTGCAGTTCGGGAAGGAGCGGACCGGAGGTCGGCGTCTGGCGCCATCATGGATGCTCAAGATGGCGGCTTGGGGGGAGATCCAGGAGCCTGCCATCTCTTTCAGTCCGAAGGGCGGATAGGCAGAGGACGCCGGAAGTGACAGCGAGAGACGGCGCCCTGGAACGCGACGGACGTCAGGGAGCTGGACGTCATCAGACTAACCCGGAAGTGACGTGCGGCGCCCCGGGGAACCCGGAAGTGACGTGCACCGTCGGCAACCTGGGCATGGCTCAGCCTTCACAGGGTGCCGGATGCAGACGGAGGTCGGCAGGAAGGGCAAGAGACAGCCGGACATCCAAGAGGCAATCCCATCACCTCCAGGCAGCCAGATTTGGAAGCCTTCAACTGGAGGGCACCTTAGGTCAATCCCATCACCTCCAGGCAGCCAGATTTGGAAGTCTTCAACTGGAGGGCACCTTAGGTCAATCCCATCACCCCCAGGCAGCCGGATTTGGAAGCCTTCACCTGGAGGGCACCTCAGGTCCTGCAGCTGATGATCAGAGGAGGTCAAGGTCAGAGTCTCCATTGGAGGAGGAGCACCCAGTACCTTCGGTTCCCCAGCGGTTCGGTGAGTTCACTGGCGCTGGTGCCCTTGAGCATCCAGGGGAGTTGTTGCGCCTGCTTAGGGCCCTAGTGGATAGGTTTCCACAGGAGGTTAGTAGAGACCCCTTAGGGCAGGATAGTAGGCTCACATGACTACATGGGGTGCTTTTACAGTCTGGGGTTCAGGATCCGGGTGGGCCTTTACATTCTGGGGTGCAGGAACAGGGGGCTCAGGTTTCCAGGGATCAGTCGGCCACAGGGGCTTTTCGCGTTGGTTCCGTGGGATGCGTCCTGGCTCCCTTGGGGTTGCATGTTCCTCTGGATATCCAGGAAAAAATTTGGAGAGGTGAGTACGTGGATCTGCTGTCCTTGGTCTCTCCCGACAAGGATTCCGTGGACAGACCGCGCCGGGGTGAATTTCCATAAGCGTAAGCATATCCCCAGGACCTTTGGCAACTTGTTGCAAGGTTTTAATGTGTTCACCAGTATCCTGGTGCGCCGTTTCCCTGACAAGGCCCCTTCCCTCTTTGGTTATCTCGACCTCATATGGGGCGCTTATAAAATCTATGGGGGACAATGCTGGTATAGGTACGACCAACAATTTCGTCAAAAAATGGCGGTGGTCCCAGGTATGGATTTCGGTGTTCAAGATGGTAGTTTATGGCTCCTAATCATGACTTCCAGTAGACCATCCCCCTTTCCCGGGCCTGCCGGAGGAACCTCCGGCTCTTCTGCAGGGCAAAGGAAAGGGGTGTGTTGGCTTTTTAACGAGAGCCACTGCCGCTGGTTCAGCTCCTGTAGGTTTCGCCATGAATGTGCACACTGCGGGGGAGCGCACCCAGCTGTGAGCTGCTGCAGAAAAGGGAAGCCGGTGTCCGGAAAGGGTCCATCTCGAGACGAAGTACCTAGGGGAGAGGACGCCGGTGGACGTCCTAAGGATGCGCCCGTAGCTCGCCCGGTATCATAGAGGTCGCGATGCGCAGAAATTGTTTGACGATTTTCAGGTAGGTTTCTGGATCCCCTTTGTTCCCTCTTCCTTGCCTCAGTTTGCGGACAATCTCCACTCGGTTTTAGGCAAGGAAGATAT